CCCCCACCCCACACACACACACAAAACACAAAAAGTGCTTGCTTTACACTATACCGTTGTATTGCAAGGTAAACACTTACAAAGGCTACTTTTCTTCAATTTTAGATTTAACCGAGGTATTAAAAATATCTATTTTCGTGCGTCTGAAATATCCCAGTCCTAACGTTGTCACGAATTCATTCTAAGTAATCATTTATGCATGTTTTAGTGTGTTTTTTTAAAGCATGAACCTAAACTTTACGATATTATTTCATAATTTATTAAAGTTTGTTTCTTCAAGTTTAGAATCAATTTATCAGATTCAAACACGGCCTCTATATTTTATAGATTTGATAAGATTACACCTTGAAATAACAAGCGACTGGCTGAAGAGAGGACTTAGTCAACAATAAACAACAAGTGAAGTTATCTTTTTGATAATACATTTTAAAACTATTGTTGTACTTTCTGAAACAAATGATATTTCAAAAGTGGATGCACATTTCAATGTCTTAACAATATATATCAGTCTAACTCGTAATAGCAAATTAACCAACAATGATCTGTAAACGTAATGAAAAGATTTTATTATGGGGGGAACATACCACATGTTTCGAAACATCTGTCGAAATAAATAGTATCTTCCCCTAAAATAAAACCACCTAATTACGCTTACCAATCCTCGTTTGTCAATTTATCATTATATTAGCATAATGTGCTTCCATACACAATAATCTAACTTGAAAAAAATTGACGTTTGATATCCTAACATATTCATGTCTTTCATGGTATAACAACTAACGATTAGGCAAATCATAAGAAAAACAGATAAAATAAAGATTCGTGGAATACAGTTTTATACGATTCTGCGTTATTTCTGTACAATATACAAAATTCTGCGTTATTTCTGTACAATATTTAGAACATATTCGTATATGTTCCAATTTGACCCCTTCATGTTTTCATGTGTTAACAAGAATTTAGTCATTTAGTGTGTAGAACATCAGACAAAATTAACAAAAGGGTAAGAAAAAGGTCATATTTGCATAACTCGGTACATATGGTGGACACAAGAACCTCAATTCACTTTTATTTCTATGTTTGACCCCGTGATTAAAGTCCAGAACTGTGAATTTGCCGGTCCATTCTTCGTGTCCCGTTATAGCAAAATAAAACTAAAAAGTCATGCTCCACTCTTTGGAGTCGTGGGTGCATTATAAGAGTGACGGTCAAATACCACTAGTCGGTCAGCTAAGAGTATTCCAATAGCTGCCTTTTTTCTAGTCTATCAGTTCCAAGTTAGGGATGGATTGCTCGGATAGCCCTTGAGTGTGTGAATATCTGAAAACGAACTTATTTCTATGTGATACTGATTACTTGAGCCCCCACCACCAATGACAAATGGCACAGCGGTAAGTCTGCGGACTTCCAACACTAAAATCCGGATTTCGAAACCCGTTGCGGCCATAGAAAAGATAGCCCATCGTGTAGCTTTGGGCTTAACTACAAACAAAAAAAAAGGTTTCTTGAACAGTTAAAAGTATTTCAAAATATGGGGTTTTAACAGATACTGCTAAGAAATATTTTTTCATGTTATTATTACATAAAAATGTGTGGAAAGGCAAGAGACTGAAATTCATTTTTACTTAATTCTCCATGCATCTCGAATTCTACAGAAATATTAAGAGTTTGGATAATTGTCAAAAAGCTAAAATATCAAGCGTTTTTATTAATGCAATTCCAAACAACACAGCTCTAATATTAAAATAAAAAAGTGCAAGTCCAGCTTATGTAAAAAGTCCACGACCGATCTGGTTTGATTAAGCTTGTGGCCTCACTCTGTTGATTAGGACACGACTTTAACAAACGAGTTTAGCTGCAAATTTGTCCCCTAAGTTGTAAAAAAAAAAAGACATTTGTCATTACAATGCAAAGGCGTGTCGAGGATAGAAAGATTGGGTTTATTTTCACGTTTAAACAACTCGAAGATGAGTGTAAAATAATCTAAACTGCAAACACGTAGAACACTACTAATGAAATAAAACCAGAAATTCTTATTAGTTATGTGAATGAACAGATACTTTACGAACTTCAAATTCACCCCATTTTATTAATATCAATGTAATAAAATTTGGCACGGTAATAAATTAATTCTGTGTGATAGTGAAACTTAACACTAATTTCAATGTGTATCAGAAGAGATCCTGAAACAATTCTGACATGTTTCTTTACTCTAGGAATTTCGATCGATAATCTCA